AGAAATAGAATACTGGAACAGAAGAGAATGTCACAGAAACCTAAACTCTAAAAGATCCCACATTAGTGCATCCATAAAACAAGAACAAGATGCTATATTTTAAAAATCAGAATAAAGAAATGCTTTTGAAAATTAAACACATAATTACAGAAATAAAAATGTCATTAGAAATCAAGTAAATCTTCTAGAACCAAGGATGAATAAAGAGTTAAAAACCAGAGAGAACATGTTAGGAGACCTCAAGGGTCAATCCAGGAAGTACAATTTTCTACTAAGAGAAGTTTAAGAAACAACAAATAGAAATAGAAGTGAGGAAGTATTTAAAACATGGTGCAAAGATGAGACTTCTGCTTCTGGCAATGATGGAGCAGATTTACTCTTTTGCCTTAAACTATAAATAAACAACCAACACAGCACAAAATATTTAAAATACATACTTTTAGATATTAGACAATAATAAACTCAGGACAGTGATCCCTGAGAGAAGAGAAACAACTGAGACGGGCTCTGCAATTGCCCAAGCTGACTTACTGGAGAGAACGTCCAGGCCTCAGCATAGAGCGAAGGACTCCATATCCCTGTGGGTTGAGGAAATGCAGGTAGGATTCCAAGGAGGCCAGGGCTGCTAGATTTCACAGGGTAGAGAACCAGAGAAGAGAGAGCTGCACACGCAGCAGAAGCTCCGGAGAGCCGCACACGCAGCAAAAGCTCCGGAGAGCTGCAAAGAGTACTAGACTAATTACGGATCAAACAATGTGTAGTAAAGAAACTTGAGGCCAGGGAAAGAACCACCCAAAAAAGCAAAGGGATCAATCCCAGCGTTCATGCTGGGCTGAAAATGTTTCCAACCAGGATGGAAAATCTCATAATTCATGAAGCATCAGGTAGCATACTCAGGGGGGCGTTACTTCAATAGCGGGGCAAATGTAGCCTTACACCAAACACTTCTCTGGTCCCCTCTGACAAAAGCAAGACTCAAACATACCAAACCATTTCCAAGTAGCTTAACTGGATCCCAGAACAAAACCTGAGTAATATTTATAGGAATAAAGAAATATCCAGCACCCAACAATGTAAAATTGATCATGTCTGGCATCTGATAAAAAATTACTAGGCATGTAAAAAGGTAGGAAAATATAATCTATAATGAATGAGAGCATTACAAAAATTAAACAAATTAAATTCAACACAGTTTAATTTAGCAAAGAACAATTCATAAATTGGGCAGCCCCCAGAACATGTTCAGAGCAACTTCAGGGCTGCCACATGGTTGATAACATTTTTAAACAGAAAAAGGAAGATCATGTACAGAAAACAGAAGTGAGACACAGAAATAGCTAGATTGGTCACAGCTGATTGGTTGCCTTATTTGAAGCTGGCTTGAACACCTGGCCACCTGTGATTGGCCAAAACTCAGCTGCTGTGATTGGCTGAGACTCAGCTACTTATTATAAGAGCAAGTTACAGTCTGTTTACACATCAAGATAGGCTAAGTTCATTATGTACAAAGAAACCTTTAGGCCAAACTTAAAATATGTAAAGAGGTAGCTTTAGGCTAAATTTAATTTAACAAGAAGTAAAGTAAATCAGTAGAAACAGTAGTTAGAATTAGTAGGGTGGGACGTTGCAACAGTTATCGAAACTATATGTTCAAGTAGATGGAGAAAAGCATTAGTATATTAAGGAGAGACATGAAATATATTTTTAAAAGACCAAATCCAACTTCTAGAGATGAAGAGTACAATGTTTGAGATGAAAAGTATACTGAATTCAGATTAATAGCTGATTAGACACGGTAGAAGAAAAGAGCAGTGAATTTGAAGACACAGTGACGGAAACTATTCAAAATGAAAGACAGAGGGGAAAAGACAAGAAAAAACTAAAGAATAGCATTGAGCACAACTTTAAGGAGTCTAATATATGTGTATTTGGAAGGAGAGTAAAGAGAGGATAAGAAAAAAAAAACCATTGAAAGAATGGTCAATAGTTTTCCAAGCTTGATGAAAACTATAAACCCATTGATCCAAGAAGCTCACCAAACCCCAGCCACAAAAATAATACAAGAAAATTTTATTCAGCTAGAGAGACACAAGTCCTCAAATAGAAAGGGTCCACCAAATGGTGTCAAGCAATTAGGTGACCAGGTAATATTTAGGACAATTAGCTGAACCAAAAGTAACAATCAAGCCTTTATTCACTAACTGCAAGCAAGAAGCAAAAAGAGGCAACAGGACCCCAGTGTTCCCTTTTCCCTTACAGAATGGCTAGGGATGCAGTTATGCTTATGTGCAGGGCTGGCCCGAGGTGGTGTGGGAGGTGAGAGAGCTGAGTCCTTAACTATAAACCCCTCTAGAAAACTGCAGTGCATTGCAGTGCACATGCAAGTCTGGTATGGGGAGGGCAGTTTCTCCCCATGAGACCTGGGCAGATAAAGCTTTGTAATTTCTGTGGTCAGGACTGAAAGATCACTCACAAGATTTTGGGATACAGCCAGATTCCACAAATGAGGAGCAGAATCATTGGGGGAATAAAAACTCCTCCTCCTCTTTCCAACATGCTGATAGATATAAAATCTGGACATCGACCAGGCGCAGTGGCTCACGCCTGTAATCCCAGCACTTTAGGAGGCTGAGGTGAGTGGATCACGAGGTCCGGAGATCGAGACCATCCTGACCAACATGATGAAACCCCGTCTCTACTAAAATACAAAAACTTAGCTGGGCATAGTGGCACATGCCTGTAGTCCCAGCTACTCAGGAGGCTGAGGCAGGGGAATCGCTTGAACTGAGAGGCAGACGTTACAGTGAGCCGAGATCACGCCACTGCACTCCAGCCTAGTGACAGAGCAAGACTCTATCTCAAAAAAAAAAAAAAAAAAAAAAGTAAAAATAAAATAAAATCTGGATATCAGAAAAGAAATCTACGCTGAAGACCAATTTGGGAGCCATGAGCATAAATGACAGTAAGGGAACTCGTAGATGGGGAAGAGACCACTATGGGAGATGAGAAGAGAAGGCGAGCCAGGACAAAGCAGTGAGGGACACCAGTATTTAAGTCACAAGCAGTGGGGTAGGTTGCCCTGGAGATTGAGAATGACCAGAGAGACAGATGCAACAGCAAACAAGTATGGAATAATAAGAATAAGAGCATGGGGAATGATACGTACCAAATGCTATGGAGAAGTCAAGTAAGATCAAGGCTATAAAATGTCTAATAGATCTGAATACTAGAACTTAGCTGATGATCTTGGTGAGAAGAGAGTAAGCAAAATGACTGGGACAGAAAGATAAACTTAGTGGGCTGAGGAATACATAAGAAGTGAGGGAACAGCTGGGCGTGGCCGCTCACGCCTGTAATCCCAGCACTTTGGGAGGTTAAGGTGGGCAGACCATGAAGTCAAGAGATCGAGACTATCCTGGCCAACATGGTGAAACCCCGTCTCTACTAAAAAAAAAACAAAATATTAGTCAGGCGTGGTGGCAGGCATCTATATTCCCAGCTACTAAGGAAGCTGAAGCAGATGAATCGCTTGAATCTGCAGTGAGCCGAGATCACACCACTGAACTTTGGCCTGGGTGAGAGAGCAAGACTCCGTCTCAAAAAAAAAAAAAAAAAAAAGAAGAGAGAAAACAAAGATAGGTGTGGACAAATGAGATTTGGCTGTGAATAATAATAAGAGGAAGGACAGCTTCTGGAGTGAATACAGCATATATGCCTTTTTAAATTGGGAGATATTTGAGAATGTTTAACTGTTAATGAGAAGCTAAAGAGAGGTAAGAAAGTCATGAATAAAGGTAAAAATAATCAATGGAAAGCCATCCCTATGAAGGAGTGGCTTACAGAACCAGAGAGATTTTCATTCAACTGAAAGAGGGATGTCTTCCCAGTGACAAGGAAAGACAGAATGGAGGCCGGTGCAGGTGTTTGCATTTTTGGTGATGAAGCGCTGAAACCTGATCTGTTGACTGTATTTTCTAAGACATAAGAGTTGGGTGGATAAACACCTTCTGAAAATGAGAAGAGAGTTTGTAGGGTAGAGATTGAAGTGAGTGCAGATTTTTAATTTC